GCCAGTAGTTCTGTGGTGAAATGACATGTATGTTGCCTTCCTTTCCTTCAATGGATGTAGAAAATACATTAGCAAAGTATATACATACAGAGGAGTCGGAGTCGGAAGATTTAGAAACTGAGGAGTCGGAGTCGGAGTCGGAGCATTTATCTACCGACTCCACAGCCCTGGTGCCAACATTGTAGAACCATTTGCCCCTGCACATTCAGCAGGTGCCAACATTGTCCATGTTTAAAGCTTGGTTAAAAACCCAAGAGATCCTTGGAATTTGGCTTTTGATTCAATATAAGAGCTGTCTAGTGTCATGATGTCGTATGTGTTTGTCCTCTTTATGATTTGTACAGCACTTTGTGTCAACCTCGATTGTCTGAAATGTTCTATAGAAATAAACTGGACATGAACTTCTGATGGGTCACAGGCGCTGTTGGCAATCCACTCCCTTAGGGGACAGTTCCTAGGCATACACACGACAAGCCCAGCATACAAATATTTATACTGGCAGTGTTTGTACTTTGCTCTCTGAGTAGCCACACTGAAGTACGAATGCTTCAAATGCTTTCATGTATGTTTTATGAGTGTGTTTGCAGATATAGTGGTTTCTTTTTAAAGTATTTATGTATCAATGCAAAATCATTGTATTTTAAGCTAAATGCAAATACTAGGTGTGCCTCCCGAACACTGGGGGTGATACAATCATAATGTCAGTCTTCTGATGATTCATGAACAAGTTATTATTAGACAGCAAATTTTTAATTTGCATAAAACAATCCGTTAAAATAGAGAGCTTACCAAGCTGGTGGGGTTTAAAAGAGATACATAGCTGAATATCATCTGCATAGATATGATAAGAAATGCATTTAAGAGACCCAATAATGTCAGCCAAAGGAAGTATGTATATAGAAAAAAATGAAAGGCCCAAGGATAGATCCTTGAGGTACACCACCATTCAGTGCTGATGTATCAGAAAAGACTTCCCCCACACAGACAGAAAAAGACCTGTTTGATAAGTAAGATGAAGACCAATTTAATGCAGAACCAGAGATCCCAACCAAATTCTGTAACCTATTAATTAAAGATTTGCGTTGAACACCGCAGTAAGGCAAAGAGTACCAACAATGAATAATCACCATTATCTGCAGTCATTAAAATATCATTAAAGAACTGTTTCAGTAGGATGCTTTTTACGAAAGCCTGACTGAAAGAAATCAAGAAAGAAACACACAGTAGTTCACACAGTAATGCGGGCTTGTGAAAGGTTCAAGGGCAAACACACAACTGTTTTTTTTTTTTCAAAAATATGAGAATACCATTGCCAACATCAACATTGTCAACAAAATCTCTGTCATTGTGACTGATAACGCTAACATGCTGAAGGCATTTACTCCTGTCCCACCGCTGCATACTCATGACTGAGTGATAGAGATGAGAATGATCACGGTGATGTGGGTGATCTTGCGGAGGTCAGTATAACTGATAAACTGGATTATTTGCAACCCGAGAGACACCCATGCTTTATTCACACATTTGTGGTTCCGCGATACTCTGGAATAGGCTGCTAAAAGCTGTGATGGCAAAAGTTCAGAGACTTTTGTCATTTTGGCTCCAAACTGCAAGAGGAATGGAAATCCTTGAGAGCCACGTAAAGCTCCAGGTTACAAATGCAGCTAGATGGAATAGCTGGCAGGAGATGAAGAGGTCGTTTCCTCACATTAGGGCTGTGCAATAGGGAAAAATACTTTATCTAGATCATTTTTTTCCCTCAAATCTGGTGTTGATAAGTGCACTTGGCATCAGAGCACAATAGGCCACAGTGCGATGATTGATTTTGTAATTGTATTATCGGATCTGTGTCTGTATTTTTTGGACACTCAGGTGAAGAGAGGAGCTGAGCTGTCAACAGATCATCACCTGGAGATCTTTAACTCACACCTCCAGCAGAATTTCTCTTGCATCCCGAGTGAGTCACGGGGCATGGAGCCGGAATGGGCCATGTATGGAGCTGTGGTCCTAAGGTTGTTGGTGCCTGGCACGGTGGTAATCCCCGAACCCGATGGTGGACACCAGTGGTAAAGGGTACTGTGAGGCTGAAGGAGGCCTTCTGAGCTTGGTTAGCTTGTGGGACTCCACAAGCAGCTGACAGGTGCAGACAGGCCAAGTGAAACTTGGGTCTCAGTTCCGAGTTATATTGCTAATACATCATTCCTCGGTTCTGGTTTTTATTTAATTTACTTCATATAAGCTTTTCTTCTACCTAAAAGGTTCTTTGAACATTATATTCAGGAATGGAAATACATATCCCTACCTGTAATCTGAAAGGTAAGCTAAGGAAACCCACAAAACATGGAATTGCATAGATTACTACATAGATAACTGAATTTCTATTACTGAAATCACAATTTATTTCCATTTCTGGTTCCAATTACAGGCCCCGACCCTGCAACACACCCAGGTAGCCAAGCATGACTTCTTAATAAATAAGATACCATTTTTAGGCAATAAATGTAAAGAAAAATTAATTATGCACTAATATCAGCTTGAAAAACACATTCCATTAGCTTCTGCAACCTGGTTGAGAAATGCATCTATATTTAGAATACTGCCACTTTATGAATGTAATAATTAGGTAAATGTAGCCAGGTTTGCATCAAAATAATGTAGCTTTAAAGTCGCACCCCTTTATGGAAGGAATCTCCAAACTCAAAACCTCATTCAAAGAAAATCATTTCCAAATTACGTACAACCCTGTTGTAAAAAAGTTGGGACACTGTGTAAAATCTAAATAAAAACAGAATTTACAAATCATGTAAACCCATATTTAATACAAAACAGAACAAAGACAACATATAATAAAATCAAAATGTGAGACATTCAACCATGTGTTTTGCATTACACAACTTTTCCAGTCTTTTGTTGCCCCTGTCCCAACTTTTTTTGAAATACGTTGCTGGCATTAAATTCAGATTGACATAAAGACATAAAGCACTTTGTGCGCCATCTACTGACGCGTATTTCTTTTTATACGACATCTTATACGACACAAAGCCCCCCTATAAATTCCAAAAATAGTGGCTAAGAGAAACAAAATAACTAGAATGTTTCTTCTTATTGCAGGTGATGGTTAAAAATAACAGGAGTAATGTGCTATAAGCGAACAAAGACAAACGCCTATTAATCCACAACAGATATTTTAAGTCAAATGACGCGTATAATAACTGCTCCTATTAATTAGTTGTAAAATTCCAAAACCATGAAGTAGATCGTTAACAGCAAAAACAATTCAACTGTTTTAAAACGGTTTCGTTCTGTTAAGATGACAGAATAATTTGTAAAATATAGAAGCGTGTGTCAGCCTGTCAATTCTTAAAAGTTAAATACCTTCTAAGGTGTTTTGCACGTCTTCAGTAAGCTTCTAACCTTATCAATGTTGTTTAACAGACACCATTATGTGAAGCGACATACAGGTTTTAGACTTTCCCATGTATGCAACCTAATGTTCTCTTAGAGCAATTCAACTTGATAAAAGTGGTCCAGCCCTGAGATTAGACTTAGAACCATTTTAGAAGGCATGTTCGACTAAATGAAGTCCAAGTTAAAACTTACCATATGAACCAAAGCTATAGTAAATTACAATGGCACTATTTTATGTCAGACTTATTTTAGCTGTCACTAACTTTACTTTTATGGCATAATGCCAAACCGTTTACAATGCCCAAACCGTACTGAACGCAAATCCAAACATTATAATAACAGCATTAATAGTCTTGTCAGGCAAAGAAACGATGTACACATTTGGCATCGCTAAGGTATTACACTATTAGGCTAAATTTTTATACAGAAATATATATTTACAAATTACACGGTTATCTAAGGCAAATGATGGTACCTCACGATCGCAGCTTAATTGTTGATCAGACGACTGCATGACGCCGCGGGGCCAGTCAGTAAATCCAGGATACGGCATGTTCTGCATGGCGCTGCTCATATATGTAATTCTGTTACTTGATGTGTGTATCTGTATGTTGTAAATAATACGTTTTGTACCCGTGTAGTGTTTTACATTCTCGGTTTGTAATAGAGCTTGTCTGCTTTTATTAAAACATGACCTGAATCGCAAATCCTGCTACACTATTTTTTTCCTGCGGAAAATTAGGTTGGACGACTAACTTGGTTCTCGGAGTTTCGGCAACAAATGAGAAATATGTCACAAATTAATTTTTTCCCTGTATAGAAATTCTTGAATGAACATCTGTCATTTAGTTTGGTATCACGGAATACATAGATGGTATCCAAGTTACAGGCGTGATCGAATACCAAGTCTTTGCAAGGTGTTCACTCCATAGAGCAATTTCAATTCAGAAATAATGTCTTTGAACCGTGGCAGGAGGAATTCATTATGGAAAGGAAAGGGGCACAAGCGCTGGGAGGTAGTCTACAGGTACTGGGCCAGCTTCGAATTAACGTTACTATCACATTATCACTTAACCACCGAATTGATTATTCCCATAATACAAACATAAGGTAATACAAGAAAACAACTGTGAAGCTATAGTGCTTGGATTAGGTGACATTGATTTAATTTTTTTGCCTGTTCTACAGGATGTTTCCGTATATTGTGTACATCACTAATACAAGTGAATGTAAGTTTATGTAAATAAGATTAAGACGCGCGTCTTGCCTCTGAGTGGCACTGCTGCGCTATTTACCGCATTTCGGTTCTCGGCGCTGGGAGGGTGGAGCGGTTTGTCCGTCACAAACGTCGGGAATTGTGGTACAACGCCACAAGAAGAATAAAAAATAACTTGGATCAAACTGTTATCGTAGTTTGGAGACTGCATTCTTCACATTACTATTCGATTTATCAGAAGAAAGCAAGTCCAGATTAATAAAAGCATCCCAAACAGATTAAAAATAAAGGAATGTGCCAGGCGTACAGCGCACTGTTCATATTTTCATTAAGCGCACTTACTGACGAAGACCTTGGGACATGATGGTGGGATGCTAGACGCGGCTTGCCAGTTGCAGTCCTCGCCGTCTGATTCTTGTTGTTTTTCTCGCGGCTGATTTATCTATCAATTCCCATCAAATGTAAAGGATTATAACATTTGAAGACTTCTCTTTCGGAGTTTTAAAGTGATACAGCCATTTTAACGGACTATCAGTCCAATTCTCCAGCTGAATTATTTCGCCTAAGGGAGTTGGCCGCTTATTCTTTGGCAAATGTTTCTTCTTTGGGAGATGAAGGTTAATTACCGGAGCCGCTGGGAAAAATTAATTAAAGTAAGAATAAATTCGAGAAAAAAGTTGAGAGTTATTAAGTGAAATAAATATTTGAAGAGATCTTTTCAGTTTTGTTACAGACATTATGTGCTGAAGTACCACGGTACGACGATAAATCCATATATCCATTTTTTGACCAGTTGAATTTAAATCTAATATATTTAAAGTAGTAATTAATATTAAACTGTAATGAAAATTTAATTTTAAATGGTTTTGTAATGTTTTAATTAACAACTGCTTGTATTATATAGATGAAGGCCTACTATTTGTTTTTATTACTGACTATTCTGTCTGGGGAATCATACATGATGCATGAAATCATTTATGCGTTCTAAAGTGAAACCTGACACACATCAAGGTTCCATTTAAATTACAGCTGAAGAAGTGTACATATTTTTATATCAGTTGTGGACTGTTAGCTATTATAACTGGATTAGCCGTCAGCTTCTCTGGCATTTCATCTGTGTTTCTGGGTTTCGATCTGAACTTTCACAAATTGAGCAAGTGGTAGAGTAGTTATGTGTGAGTGAGTCGAAGTGTTGATCTAAAGAGAAGTGTGTTTGCATTCTCTATATATATTCAAATGAAATCATTTGAATATATATATTGTCATTGTTTTCTATTTGAAGAAGAATAAAGAACAAACTTAGTAAATATGTCACTAAAAGCCAAGGCTCTCTATGATTTCCATAGTGAAAACAAAGAAGAGATCAGCATTTTGGAGAATGAGGAACTAACCATTTTTGATGAGCACTCTATAGATGGTTGGTTACAGGGTGAGAACAGTCAAGGGCAGATGGGTCTCTTCCCAGCATCTTATGTGGAAATAATCCGGCCTGATTTGTGTCTGAGGGGGTGTTCCCCAAGCCCAGCCGGCTCTTCTGGAAATCAGTGGTGCTTCCTGCCCACTCAGGACATGCCTGCGGGTGGCCAGCAGAGCTGTGAAGATGACAATAGCTGGGATGACTGGGATGACTGGGATGACAGTTTGTCAGTGGAGGAAGAGGGACATCCCCAGCAAGGTGCCAACACTAATGAGAGGAGCTGTGGAAGTCCCTGCAGCAGCCCCACCGTTCGCCATCACCTCAGACCCACAGAGAGAGCTGACAGAATGTGTAGCTCACAAAGGGGCAGCATGGTAACCAGGAATCTAAACCGCTTCTCAAGCTTTGTGCGCTCTGGGGTGGAGGCATTTGTACTGGGCGATGTACTGCTAACGGCTAAGAGAGCAGAGTCCTATTCCATTGAAATGGGTCCTCTAGGCCCCCAGTGGAAGGACAGCCCCAAGCCTTTTTCTTGCTCCATTGAGGATCCCACCAAGCAGACCAAGTTTAGAGGTATCAAAACATACATCTCCTACCGCATCACACCGAGTCACACAGGTCGTCCAGTGTATCGACGCTACAAACAGTTTGACTGGCTGTACACCAGGCTGCTGCAGAAGTTTACGATCATATCTTTGCCCCATTTACCTGAGAAACAGACCACAGGGCGCTTTGAGGATAACTTCATTGAGAAGCGCCAGCGCCGCCTGGCACTGTGGATGGATCACATGACCAGCCATCCAGTGCTCTCACAGTACGAAGGCTTCCAGCATTTCCTTCTGTGCACCGAGCACCGGCAGTGGAAGCTGGGGAAGCGCAGGGCAGAACGGGATGAGATGGTAGGTGCTCATTTCCTGCTGACCTTGCAGATCCCTAATGAGCACCTGGACTTTCGGAAAGTGGAGGAGAGGATAGGTATCTTCAAGGACTTCGCCAAGGGTATGGATGAGAGCATCATGCAGTCAGCCCACGTGGTCTCCGAGCTGGTCCGCAAGCACGTGGGCGATTTCCGTAAGGCATTCCAGAGGTTTGGTTATGCCTTCCAGTCCATCAGCCAGACCTTCACCCTTGACCCCCCTTACTGCTCAGATGCCCTGAACAGTGCCATCTCCCATACAGGCCAGACCTTTGAGAACATTGGGGAGATGTTTGCAGAACAGCCAAAGTACGACCTCTTCCATGTGTTGGACAGACTCTCACACTACCAGGGTCTATTGGCCAACTTCCCAGACATCATTCATGTACAGAAGGGTAAATGTTTTGTATTTATTGCATGCCATAATAGAAAATTCCATAGATTTCTCCATCATATGTATTGCCTTTTGAAATACCATGCTGGTGTTATTTAATACTTTTCTTAGACGAAGGAAAAAACCTCAGAATATGTAATATTTAGATATTTTGTTGAACGTTTATTCTCAGCTGTAGGCTAACAGTAAGACAGGGAGGATGTTTACTTCTGTTTAGGTCTATTTTTCAGGCAGTAAAAAAGAGTGTTTATAATCTCGCCCATCAGTCTTCTAACTGCATATCCTGAGTAGGCTGGCGGGGTGGGATGGAAGCTGTCCCGGGTAGCATCGGGCACAAGGGATTCCCTACCAGACTGTAGCAAGGGATTCGATGGGAGGAGGGGGTGACGGGGCCGTCTGGGGAATACGTTGTTGTTGTTCCAACAACATCCAGTTAATGATTGTTTACATTTCATAATTCATACAATGAAAGCTGAATTACTGTTCTAACCATTGCTTTGCTTGCAGGATTCATCAAATGTAAAAGCCTGCACTTGCAGGATTTTAATGATGTGCATCAGTTGAAGGCAGATATAATATTAAACAGTTATCACTACTAACACACATAAACCAGTAACAATATATAAAATATATCTCCACCATTTCTTTACTGTTTATGTTGAAACTTTCTTAGTCAGGAAGTAATGCAAAATTTATTTATCAAAGTCATACAATGAAACCATGGGATTATGGGACGTTAAGCTGATCGGGTTTGTGGCCACTGGAGTCCGGTTTCCATTCAGTACTTTTCCATTTACTGCAGTGCCAGATCAATGCTAAATCACATTTATACCCCTCTGTCTAAAAGACAAACATTCCCGACAGGCACCAGCCATTGTACTGTTACTTTAGCTGCCTGTTTATGTTTTGACAACAATCTTCAAGTTTGCCAGATGACAAGCTGGGCCTCCTTCTTTTGCACATGCGCGAAATGATGAAGGTTTCTCAATTGGCCTGCTGTTCTCTGTCTCCCTATTCGTACACTACAACAACATTTACCGCAATGCGTGTTTCAGTAAATGCTGGCTTCTCTACTGGTGTTGAAAGTTGCTTGTTGGTTTCTCATTTAAACCCACTTTTTTGTTTTCTTCATGCTTTTTTGGAAGATGAGGATGATGGAGAAAAGAGCTGGATTTAATGTATTGCGGAGAATGAACATTTCTCCAGGTCTGTTAGAAGTATCTTTAGATTCAGAGAGGCAAATAATGTCATGTGCAAACAATGATAGTAAGATTTCAATATCCTAGCTTTTTAATATCCTGCTCTGGTCTCTTCCTTTGCTGTGATTCTTGGTGAAGGTCCAGATATTTGTAATGTGCTCAGAAGTGTTGCTGCTAGTCCTTGTAGAAACTGTAGGATTCTAAACTATAAATTATAAATTAGAAGCTCCCATGAAGGACTGTCATGATGATTATCGCATTCTGTTCCACAGCACAAGGCATGATCAGTCCCTCTCTCATTTCTGTAATAGATTAGTTAAAAGCCCATGCACTTAAAATATTAAATTTCCTCTGAAACTAATGTTACATTCCCTCTGTTGGCAGCACAGCAATGACATGGATAATATTTGCCTGCACGATTTGCCTGAGAGGTGTGTAATTGGACAGTATTGAGCAATATCTTATTATAGTGTACTTTGTTAGCATGTCTTATGAGTCTTTGTGCTGTACAAAGTGTCTACAGTATTGTGATCGAAACCTTTTCTTCTCTGGTACACAATGTATTGCAGCTGGTACAGACCCGTAGCAGAAGATATAGCTGCATTCCAAGCTTCCAGGACCTTTGCAGATGGATTCTATGCCTTCTTTCATTTTCACAGTTCAGGGTTTCATATCTTGTATGCCTCATAAAAGATGTAAATTATCTTTTTTTGTGGCGGTTTTTAAGAGTGGAAAAATGAACAACTTCAATACTAAAATTTAAAGTCTCTTAAAATGAATCAGTGGCTGTCCACACAAAAAATGGAGCTTGTAGAAGTAGAATTGAAAGTTGAAGTGTCCTCAAATGGTGTATGACTGCAGAAGGACTTGAGCACAGCAGAGTACGGAAAAGACATATTTACCCAAGAACAGCAACAAAACAACATGTTGCTGATAGTTACAATGATCTTTTTTTTTACTGTGAGAATAAAATAAAAAAAATTCTGGTGGCTTGAGAAGGTCTTAAACCTCTCTGTTCATCTTTTTCTTTCTGTTCTTGACAGTCTTCAACCAAGGAGAGATGAAAATGTGTCATAGCTTTATATTTCCCCATTTGTTCAATGATCCTCAAGTTTTTGGTGTTGTCCTCTGCTGCTTCATTTTCATACTTGGGATCATTTTAGGTACTGAATGGAGCACTTGAAATGAATTACCAGCAAATTATTCATAGAGAAATTGAAATGGAAGATGTCGGGGACAGGATCTGTTTCATTATGTATATCGATTGCTCCCTACACATAGAGATCAAACATTGGTTTCAAGACTAACCATGATTATTGAGTAACATGAAAACAGAAGTCGAGTTCGTGTGCATTTCCATAAAGGAATGTTTTTGCAAAGTCTCGATCTTTGTGAGGAAAAGGGTGAGAATTTCCCAACAGGGTTTGTTGATCCAGTTGCTGTGACAGTCCTGCAGCTGGGATGGCGTTACTCCGTGTTTGTATACGGGACAGAGGGAGCAGCACAGCCGCCTTTCACCAGGGGGATGACAAAGGGCTGGCCTGTGAGCCATCATGCCACTTTGCACCATCGGGATCTTTGCAGTGCTCGGCACCGATGACGACTCTCATGGCACTCCTCCTCCCCAAACACAGTACACTTATTTGTGTAGCCAGATTTATTCCTGTCTAAATTAGACAAGTCATACTGTTGACATTCAGGGTTTTAAACACACACCCATTATGTGAAGTATAGTAATGCAGTGGATAGCACTGTAGCTTTAATAGCCCCCAGTTCTGTCTATGCTAGCTTTGTATGGTTAGCAAAAACATACAAGGACATTTTCATATTATCCATCCATCCATCCATCCATCAGAATGACCAAATACGGCAGTAGCTTCAGAGAGAATACAGACAACTGAAGAGCAAATTTTCAAAACTTTTTGTTTGTTTTGAGATGAGATGAGATCAGATCAGGTGTTGCCATCATAAGTAACAGTACTGGGAACCTCAGCACACTCAGCCTTCATGTAATCCAACTAGAAACTTTTGTTAAATTTTCAAAACTCACTAAGTCCACAGAAATTTTCTCGCAAACGTATGCTGTGGACTGAGTGAGTATTGAAATTTTCATTTTGGGGGCTTAGGGTGCGGACAATTCCAGTGACAGGGGTCCCTAAAAAATTTGGAACATAAATGGACTGGACTGGGTTGGTGGCCCGGTATGACACGCTTTTACGAGGCCCAGATCTTCTGCGGAGCCCCTGCTTTGACTGATGTTCATACTTATAGACGTGTATTTGCATCATTTGCATCCCGGGACAGCCTCTGAAAAGCTACAAGTATTGATGCAGCTTTTGAGAGTAATAAAAATGTTAAGGGTATTACTGGTCTGAGGGTGGCACTGTGGTGCAGTGGTTAGCAATGTTGCCTAACACTGTAAGGACTAGGGTTCGACTCTCTGCCTTGTGCCCATAGGCTCCAGACCCCCCATGACCCTGAGTAGGACAAGCAGTAACAGAAAATTGATGGGTCGCTGGTCTGAAATGATATGATGTAGACTTACTATAAAGGATCTGGGAAGGAGCCCTTTTAGTGTTTGTTATGAATGTTGTCTGGCTCCTCCCTTAGCCTAAGAAAGGGCTGTTGCTTTGCAGAAGCTTTGGATACAATGTCACCTTCAGGAGGATGGTCACTGAATAATGAAATGCAGCCACTCATTCAAACATGCATTTTAATATTTGCTCATTTATCCTTAATTCATCACAATATTTCTTTTCCCCTCTCTGTCAGATATGTCTGCTTCCACTATTCCTATTCTCTATTTTCTGCAGCATGTCTGCAGGCTGGACAATGAGGAGGATCTATTATCCATTTACTCAGACGTGTGTATTACTCACGGCTGAGAAGGAGGTCATTGTAATACAGTGGGGACATGAGCTTTCCATATTTATATCTATTGTTTCCTCCCAAGTCAAACAAACTTTCTCTCTTCTACCCTCTCAATTCTGCATTTACAGGCCATTGGCAATGTAAACTGGTGTCCAGCCTGAGGCTATAGAACTTTTGTCCTCTAATAACACTTGATTTGGATGCCAGATGAGTTGAATGAACTATATCTAGAAAGGTTTGAATATTTAGTATGAATGACCATTTTATAATGCTACCCTAACCCACATACTTTGCTCCACAGCAGAGGGTTAAGTGGATATACAACATCTCAACTCAGTATCTTTTCTCTTGATGTGGGAAAATGAAGTTTTGCTCAAATTAGGTCAAGACTAAATCTCTAATAAATGCAACATTGAACTGCTTTTCTGGTGACATCAACATATACCCAAGCAGTCCTGTTTGCTTTTATTATTATTATTATTATTATTATTATTATTATTATTATTATTATTATTATTGTTATATATCTTTTCAACTGTAACTGGTATTGGATTAGTTTTATGATAATTGTGTCTAATTTTAAAGCCTGACTTTGAGGAACTGAGTAATTTCCGTAAAGCTTTTTAGCCACGATTCTGTTTCAGCATTCTAATGTGTAAACTGTAAATGTTTCATTATTGATGCACTCAGTTCTGTCATCTGTATTTTTATTGCTTCCTCACTTATCCCATGCCTTGCAAATCCGTATCATGTAATTAATGAAAAATTACATTGAATTAATGTGATAATTGCTGTTTTATGTTCTGAAGGTTGTTTTCGATCTGTCAGTTGAAACTTAAGAATTTAGTCAGGGTTAGGGTGTGATCTAGTCCCATTGTTATAATACTTGTACAATTGCCCGGATCATGATGCATTTGCTGGCTCCAAAAGTAACTTGACATTGCAAGCAGAAGATGACATTCCACTGTATGGTCTTGGTGCTGAGCTTCCTGGATTTCTGTAGCAGTGAATCAGCTTCAATGGATTGTAATGGTTCTGTTCACATCCATTGTTATTAATGGGATGGTAAATTATACAATCTGTATGAGTGTGAAAAACACGAAATATCCCATTACATTATGTGTGATATGGAGCAAGAGGCTCTGATTAGCCTGTGCAGTTCTAATCAGCAGGGGTGCTACTTGAATCTTTCTGCATGTCCTAATAATACACAGCAACTCCGTGCAAGGACCTTTAGAGGGACTGGTGCTCAGATTTAGGAAGGGGGCATGGATCAAGATGTCAGGACACAAACTATAGCGTAACCTGCCGAACCACACAAACTGATATTCAAAAAGAATATTCTAATAACAATCCTATAACAAATCATACTTTATCATTACACCTTAGAAGATTTTGGCATTTATCAAAATATATTGTTGTTATTATTATCTGAAGATTACTCTCAGAGCTCCCCCCGGGCGGGCACGCGCATGCTGTTTCGAGCAACACTCTTTCCCAATACATCTAAAGCTGTCAGTGTGTATCACCCACGCAGGCTTTTGCACTTTGTGTCCAGGTGCATTCAGCAAGGTGAAGGAAAGCCAGCGAATGAGTAAGGAGGGGAAGATGGGCCGGCACGAGGCGGACGGTGTGCAGAAGCGTTGCCAGGCCGTGGGCTTTGCCCTTCAGGCAGAGATGAACCACTTCCACAGGCGACGGGTAGTGGACTTCAAGAAGATGATGCAAGCCTATTTGAGAGAGCAGATCGCCTTCTACCAGCGTGTGGGCAGGCAGCTGGAATGCACCCTCCACATGTATGAACATTTCTAGAGTTTTCTTCAGGCCACAGTTTCGCTTGGCTTTTCTGTAGATGTCCAAACCTATAAAAAGGGTAGATGTTAAACTTTACATGGATCTCAAATCGAATGACAAAGATACACTCCATTTTGCTTTGGATTCAGAACTCTGTTGAGTTACTGCTGTGAAAACGTTTTTATATATGCAGCCATTTTGCACAACCACCTATCCAGAATGGCTTCACTGACAGACTGGAGTCCACAGTGTATGTGGCAGAAGGCACCCTGGACAGGATACCTGTCCACAGCGAGGGGCTTTTTTTGTTATGGAAGGTTAGAAGTTTCCAGTTTCCCAACTGCAAATACTAAAATGAGATGGAATTATAGGAATAGATACTTCATTGATCCCTGTGGGGAAATTGTCTTTATGCCTCCCTCAACTTGCTCTTTGTAGAGTAAGCTGTAGGTGAAGGGCAGCCACCCATGGCGACGCCCAGGGAGCTGGGGGTTAAGGGCCTTGCTTAAGGACCCATAGATGTGCTGAGGCTGGGTTTGAACCAGCAACCTTCTCATTACAGGCTTAGCCCACTGAGCCACACGCTGCCCCCATGGAATTTCACTTTTTAAATAATGATATGACCGAATTCTTCTCTTAAATAGTGCCTGTTACCTGTATGTAATATTAAATATAACATACTGACAAATTGGATGTTGTGGTTTTGTTCTAAGCAGTGAACTGTGCACCCAGGCAGATCCAGGTGTGTTGGTGGTAGAATATAACTAATATGCGGATCTCTAAGCAATGTGTGAGCATGTGTAATAAAGTGAGGGTGCTGCATTAAAATGCCCTACGAGTGTTTGCTAAGCGGTTTGCATCGTTATATGCGAATCAGATTAATTTAACACACTTGTCCTTGCACGGTGCCTGATCTGACCCTGGAAACAAACATTTCAGTTATCAATTATTTTTCACAGGCTTGTATATGTATGGGCTTCTCCTGATGGACTAATAGGCTAACAAACAATTTCTTTTTTTGCATTGTTCCTCTGTGAGTCATGTGGTTCTGATTGGTCAGGCCTGAGCTCTAAGTGTTAGTCTGGACTATAGATTGTTTTACAGAAGTTTAAATAAACATGTACCACAACCTTTCTGTACTGTATTTTAAATCTGTTCTGATACCTACTTTTTATGTATATAATTCATAAAAGTGGCCAATGTCTGATGTAATTTAAAAGCAGTGCAACTGGAGCAGATGTAATCTATGTTAATGGATTCTGATCGATCTGGTTTGGTATGCGGATAAAAAATGGTTTGTAATACTTGTTACAGTTTGTAAATATATATTGAAAATAGTCACATTTTCACAGATTTCTGCTCTAGCATAGGAAAACATAAAAAATATACTGTTTGAAATGCAGGTCACTACAGTTCATTCAAAAAGGGTAAAACTAATGTGAGGTGTAATTCCTGCAAAGTTCCCTAAACGTACATTTTGAGATAATGCCTGTAATTTGGCCTGTAATTTAGCTGAATAATGTATTTGTGACATTGACAAGTGTAACTCATTTACCAGTTTTCCTTCATAAATCTTTTATTGAGTTTCCCCAATGTCCTGACCAAAATTGCCCACTGCAGCCCTTTCAAACCTGGTTGAAACAAAATCTTGGTCTGGATTTTTATTTTCTGGACATGAACTATCCACCTCTGATCTAGAGGTCCTCAACAAGTTCCATTCACCAATTATTTATATACTGTGTCTAAAATTGTACGTTTTATCAAAGATTTCCCATCATTATTCGGGAGCCATGTGACAGTCACAGTAAGGGTCAAAGGTAATCGAGGCACAGCAGCACACCCATGATGACCTGGATTACATAGTTAGTATAAATATCTTTGTCTTTTCTTATTAACTATATTCATAGTTTCCAGCTTAATGTTTATTTTTTGTTGTTTTCCACATTTCTAAATTTAATTTGAAGATACCTCTTCTATTTTTTTTTACGAACATCCTTTGTTGAACATCGATTGACTCTGGATTTCCTGCTTTTGTCTGCTGGACGTCCACAGTGTCTGATTTTCTCCGCTTTGCTGGTCTTAAGTTTTATACATAATATGGTTGAATTGCTACACTCTGTTTTTAAGTTTCCCTTGTCTGTTGCGGGGATGTGGGGAGCGACTGCGCACAGTTACCTGGTAGCTAGATGTTATAGACCAGCTGCCAGTGACTCTGTCCTCCCGTGAACCTACTGCCAAAACTGAGAAATCTACATTTATTGATTTAATCTAATGCTCACTTTTAATTGTCTGCTGTGCATTTTTCCAAAATGATGTGATTACTGCGACAGCTCCTAAATGTAATCCTAGTTTTATAGAAAGGAATAAGGAGAAGTTTTTTGAGAAGATGTCTCTTTACAGGATTTATATAAATCTCACTGGTGCAGAAGGGCCCTTATTGATGCTGAGCTGGCTGGGAGATTTCCTGGTGCGGTCTGGTGCAGGGTCTGCTGTGCCGGGGGTGAGCAGGGTGACACACGAGGGAGGGGCCGGGGAGATCAAGCTTGACAGCAGGGAACTGTCTCTGGTCTCTCCCCTTACCGACGGTGATGCTGCTATTTCAAAGCGGCATCCCTGTCTCCCTGGCTGAAGCCGGGAGAGAGACAAGCTTTTATTATTTTCTCACATGTTTAATTGGACTTTTTGATTGAGTGGGAGCACTTGCTGTTTGACAAAGTGACGCTGAACCTTTGTTGGGTGCTGGTTCCCTGCGCTGTGACTGCCGCTCCGTCACAGTGTGATAAGCCGTGATTTATGGCCAAGCTCACAAGTCTGTATTATAAAAGAAACGTGGCTTAGGTGACAGCAAGAATGACAGCTTTCCAGACTGACTGGCTTCTGTGTAGATAGTTAAACATTTATTTGTATGGTATTTATTTGCTTTTGCCTCCCAGAAACAGAGCACTACTGAGTTGCAGGTCTTACAGGAGATGCTGGACAAAAGCTGCCACCTACATTTGGCAGCAGTGATAGGGAATTGCATTGGTAGCAGATGATCACAGTGGTTACAGTGATGGTGGCATAATTTCAAAGTGCCTGGATAAGGCAATGGTGAAACAGCAGGGGTACACCCTAAGCAAGGGTACACCCTAAGCAGGGGTACACCCTTTGTAGGGGTACACACTAAGCAGGGGTACACCCCAAGCAGGGGTACACCCTAGGTAGCGGTACACCCCAAGCAGGGGTACACCCTAGGTAGCGGTACACCCTAAGCAAGGGTACACCCTAGGCAGGGGTACACCCTGAGTAGGGGTACACACTAAGCAGGGGTACACCCCAAGCAGGGGTACACCCTAGGTAGTGGTACACCCTAAGCAAGGGTACACCCTAGGCAGGGGTACACCCTAAACAGAATGCCAGTTATACTGGGGAAAATATTTGAAATGCTTTAATTCCATCATTGGTTGTTTTTTCCCCAACAAAAATTGTGCTTGCACAATTCACCTGTCTTAAGATTCATTGTCCTATTCTTACTATAAGAACTCAACTCTACGACTATAAATTTATTCCAGGAAATGTATACATAAACGTATCTAAATGCCGTGACAGGTCAGTTATGTAATTTCTACTTGTAAAGAATCTCCCTTCATACTGTTTTAGCTATTATATAGATCATTTTCAATGAAAATTCTTTGGAAAAGCAAGTAGCCTAGGGTTTAACATGACATAAACTAAAGTTCAGGTTTCAACTCCCAGGAGTGTTACTGCTTTAGGACTCCTAAGCTGCTGTTCAGGTTGAATCACTCCAGAAATACCTCCCTGGGTATTTAACTATTTTCAATGTTAGAAATTTTTGAAATTCAAAAAAAGTGTTTTAGAAGAACTGAGTGATCAAGGCATCTGTGCTAGTGAAGCCCAATGCTGCATCACTGAAAGCTTCTCAAAACGAGGCCTCCGGTCTGCCTGGCCTGTTTATATACTCAGGACTGCTGGGCCTCCTGTCATGTGGCTGGCAGACATACTGAGAACATTGGCAGACATGCTACAGGAACACCCTCTCCATTTTAGTGTGATGGGGAATGAGGCCACCCAGTGGAGTTGCTGTTGAATTGCAGACATCTACATTCAGGCTGATACTTCTTCCAAGATGTCCTGCAGTGTGGCACATTTTGCATGAACATTAACCCTGACCTGTAGACATGGCAAGGCCAGGCTTAAACTGGCAACCTTCTGATCACAGACCCTGAGGCTTAGCCCACTGAGCCACAGCTAGTGTCTCCCTGCAAAGATTCATGCATAAATATAGCTAAGTAATAATTGTCAACCAGATATTGATTGAATGCTGACAAATTTTGCATATCTTTTCAAAAACATCTTCCTTGGTACCATCTGCTGTTGGATTTATCACATTACTGTCACTGTGTTGAGTATGATTCTTTATTGGTTTTCCGGACCAGTTATGCAGTGCCGCTTGACTTGTGCTGGTTAGTCACCCATACAATGACTTTGACGCTGCATAAGCACCTTGTGTGACCTATTCATGCTTTTTTTTCTAACTCCAGTTCCATTCTGCTGTCATAGTGTAGCATGATACATTTTTAGATGGTTGTATCACAATAAGGAATAAAAACAACCTGGATATGATATCCCCTGTCTTCCCCACCCTCATCTCTCCATCCTATATCTCTCCCCTGTTACAGCTCTCTGTCTTACCTTTGATACCTATAATTCTAATCTATCAGAGCAGGTACTGGCCAGTGGCAGGCAGGTGTACCCAATAAAGTGCATCATCCATCTATTCATCTTCCATTCCACTTTTCCAGTACAGGGCAGCTGAGGGCTTGGAATCCATCCCAGGAAGCAGAGGAAAGGGGAAAGGGCTTGTGCCACAGTCATAATTAAACACGGAGTGGTTTCATATCTGATAACTGTGATATTCTTCATATGAGGCATAGTATTTCTAACAGCTTCCTTCTGCAGATCACTGTTGCCTTAAAGGGCTTTTCAACTGTAATTTAACTGCATTCTTTTCTTCTATATATGGGCATTTTTTCCTGCCTGTTATGTATCAGAGATAATGCCACAATCTGCCTCCCATGTGTAGAAGGTATCTACCATGCGTAATGTCTGTCTGAGATGGATGGAACAGTTAGGTGACGACTTCATGGGAGGATTGGAAGATCTTATATATTAGATCTAAAAACAGTATTTTATATGTTTATAAACAGTTTGGTTTATGACTCACTGTGCAGGGATAATCATTGTAATTGACTGTATTTGGAGGTTATGAGTGAGATGAATGCTGATTAACGCTGAATCGTGACACTGAAAGTGACATGTCTGTCATTTGTTTTATCCGTCGTTACTAAAAATGATTTTTCTGATGCCAACCGCAGTGCGTGTTGTCACTGTTTTTTAAACTAATATATCCCTGATTTCTCTTTAAATGTGGTAAGTGCCTTTAAAATGGTGAATTTTTATACATGGATATATGCAATGCGATATGTGTGAAATACATG